TATTGTGGTCAGAGAGGATGACAATCGCAATTGAAATTGGGCGGTGCATCAGATATTTGCATGAAGAGTGCACCGAAGGTCCACTTGTTCACGGGAATTTACAACCATGTAATATTTTTCTCTCACGTGATCTCAAACCCATGGTAATTATCAATTGATTTTTTCCAGTATGTTATATCTCCAATTTTTTTTTCCATCATGATCACCATTTGAGTTTTTTTCTAATTATTTGGAGTCGACAACATGAATCCTGGTCTACCATTCTATTCTATCAATAAGTATACCCTCATTTTTTGCTCTATCATTGAGGTCATTAAATCCCCATGAGTTTTCTCCATTTCTTTTTGTCTTTCATAACTTTTTTTATTTATATAAATGGGAGGTGAAAGCATATTTGCATAGGAAGGGCCCTTTTTCTATTGGGGGATTTAACACAGCCCACAAGATTCTATCAATATTGTAGGTTATACATGCAAATGAAGGACTCAGTGGATCATCCGCCTTGGATAAAAGAGTGGTATGATCTAGTGAGCCATGCTCGATGGATTTGGGGTGAGGTCAACTGGGCTAATTTGTATAGCAGACGTTTTCTTATTATAATCCCATCTATATTAGAAGAAAATGATGTTTCTCATCTGTCACTTTTTCATTGTCCAAATTACAATATTTATTTTTTATTTTTATTTTTCTAATGATCCCATGATCCAAATCCTGGAGGAGTTTTCCCTCTTCTTTATCTATGAACCTCTTCCTCCCTCTTTCTCTCCCTCAACCTCTGTTGAAACCCCATTTCTACCTGTCACATCTTTACAGGTAGGTTAAAAGAAGCATGTTAAGTTCCTTTTATATGATGGGTTTATTAGAAAAAAAAAATGGATAAAAAGTTAGTCATTTGCACAACGAAAAAGATAAAAAAAGGGTTAAACTTTTTTATTTTTAACTTGACGGGGATCCATGGGCTATCCATGAACCTGAGGATTACAATTATAAAGAGAGAGTATCCGACTTTTCCCCTCATTGTTTTAACTCTCCATGAGGCTTCATTAAGAACAACACGTATCGCCTTGGCTATTTTCCAATGTTTTCTAACGTCCTTTTCTAACTTCACAGATTTCTAGTATCAAATATACAAGACAGCTGCAAAGAGAGAAGTCAGAATCAAGCCATGAAAGAACCCCCAAAAGCTTCAAAACAAGGTATTTTAGATCGTTTTTTTTATTTTGGGTAATTTAATGGAGAAAACAATCTCCCACTTGTTTTTTCAAATAGTTTAAGAGTAAGTTTCTTCTTAAATGGTTTAGGAGTTAATTTTTTTAAAGTGTTAATGGAAACGTATTAGTAGGAATAGAAACCAGAACATGGTGACTAAAGTAAAAGGGTGCTACCACCACCATGACCCAAGCCCTTTCCCATACTTCTTCGAATTGAATACTGGCAAAAGTTATGACATAATGACATTTGCATATTTTTATGATATGCGAACCAAAATTTGAGGTAATGAGTTTAGGGTTCTTTTGATAGAAGGGATCATGGGGGAACAGAAGACGATGAGGTCGCAGAGGAGCATCAACACATGACTCCCAAGTTGGACGTGTACTCCTTTGGGGTGCTGCTACTGAGATTGTTTTGCCGGGGATTTCAAGATGAAAGAGAACTCCTTCAATGGGTCAGCTCTCTCTCTCTCTTTCTGCTTCTTTTGGGTGGCACTCCTGCATTTTTTTGCTACAAATTTTGAATACATACACTCACTCTCTCAGTCTCTCTCCCTCTCTCTCTATGTGAATGTATGTACGCTTTTAGGTGGTACTCTTGCGGATTACCCGGATTCGGTGGTCACGTTCTCAAATTTGAAAAAACTTCACAAAAAATTATTAGAACATTAAAAAAAATAAGAAATTTATTCGTAATGAGTTTTTATATGTTTTCTATTATTTTGATAAAAATTGGAAAGTATGTTGGCCGTAAAATACTTACTTTTATACATTTTTCCTTCTTTGGATTTTTTTTAAAATACCACCTCTCATAAATTGATTTTTTCAAATTCCATTTTTCCCTACTTTTCTAACATTATTTAGATGTGTTATGTTTAATTTTACTTTATATATAAATTTTCGTATTTTTTAGATTTTTGTATTTTTTTAATTTTTAAACATTTGTTGCTTAGCCTGCTCAACTCAGGCCGAGTGCCCGAACAGCCAGGTACCCGCCGGCCCAAGTCGGGCAATGCTGCGCTGCTCTAAAGTGTTATAGACTCTCTCTCTCTCTCTGAACATTCTCTCTTGAATTTTTGCAGGCACGTCCTCTATTAGCTCGGCATGCATTTCATGAACTGTTGGATGGGCGTCTCGAAGGTTGCGATACGTATGAATTGTATCGGGTGATGCTCACCGCTGCCGCTTGCATAAGCCTCCCACCACTCGGTCGCCCTACCATCACCCAAGTCGGTACTCCCATCACCATCCAATGTTTTTTTTTTTTTTGTGGGTTGCTAGAGCTAAGATTTAACTGTCTTTTTATAAACAGAAAAAATTTATATAAAGTTACAATCTTAAATTACATAATTAAAGTGTACCTTAAAAAATTTATAGGAAAAGGTTGTTTTAATGTTGGAAGAACTTCTAATTGATCATTTCGACATCAAGATATGATATAAAAAGAAAAAAAAAATTTGGATCTCAAAAATAGTGTATTTGCAACGTACTATCTAGACCGTTAATTTTTAGATTTTCATGTATTTATAGATTTATTTGATTTGCACATTTTCGAAGTTTAAAATTTTATAATTGAATATAAAAATATTAAATGAAGTTATCCTGACAACTTTTGACACGTTATGATAAAATTTGAAGGTACGCTTTCTTTTATTATTATTATTATTTTGTACTGACGTTAATAAATTTATTAATGGAAAGAGATTACAAAAGCGGAATTACACAAGTGCCGGCAAAAAGAAATGTACGCTAAGAAGACTTTGATTGTTTAAGGTTGCAACCTCATGCAAGCCACACACCAATCAAATACGATCCAATTTGTAGGGTTGAAATGCTATGTGGAAGAAAACAATGAGGGGACTAGGAAATTTTTTAATTAGACCAAACAAATTCCACTAAAACAAACAATGTACATATATGATCGTTCTATAATTAAAATCACATGTGTTGATTTACAATAGGAGGAGAATACTACAAAAAATTCACCACTTTTTTAGAAACCTTATACCAAATTCCCCATTAATCTTAATATGTTTGGACCCCCTGCCAATTTAGCCTTTAATAAGGATTATTGACTAAAATAGGACTTCCACATAAGTATAAGCCATAGTTAGCAAATCGGCGTTTTTTTGAAAAACGTTAAAAACGGCATTTTTTTTGAAAAGTTCGTAAAAAAAATGGCGTTTTTTTGAAAATGTTCGTCAAAAAACGCTTTTTTTTCATAATAAAGTTAAAAACGCATTTTTTTGGAGAACGAATAAAACGGGCTAAAAAAAACGTTCATTTTCTTGCTGATTTCACAGAAAAAAAATTCAAAAAAATTAAAAAAGCCATGTTTCTCTCTATAGAACCACAAGCTTTTGAAACATGCAACTTAAGAGAGAAAACCCCTATTTAACCAAAATCTTTTTCCTGATTTTACAGAGAAAAACCCAAAAGAATGAAAAGGTCCATGTTTCTCTCTCTAGAACCTCTGTAAAAAAATGATCTTATTTTTTAACCTTTGGGAGAGGTACTTATGTGGTCGATTGATTCATGGAGCGTCTATGGATGCATATTATTTTCTTCTGAATTTTGATCCAAATGAGATAATAATTATAAAAAGCACGTTCATGAGGAGCAAGAAGCTTAGATGTTCTACGGCTCTATTTTCATAGGAGGGATGGGGAAGACGGTATTATTCACATAATTGTAAACACTGAGCTTCAATTGGCAGTTTAATTCCCTGTAATGTTTGTTTGCATTCATCAAATGCTACTAGCCCTTTTGGGTCTACTAGGTTTAATGGTTTATCAAGCACTTGTCAAAAAAAAGAAAAAATTGTCTTATTTTAAGAAAAAAAATTACATATTACAAGATAAAAAAAATGACCTCTTCCTTTTGTCTCTCTAAAATCAGCTTCATGATCTCTTCTTGCTTTTTCAAATCTTGCCCTAGCTTAAAAAATACCCAAATCACTACAAGCATAGCATTGATTAGGTTTTTTTCTCTCTCTAAAATCTCTAAAATTAGGTCCACCATCTCTTCTTGCTTTTCCAAATCTTGTCCGAGTTGAAGATTTTTTTTTCTATATAAAACAGTGATCCCAAAATTTGCCTCATCTTGGTTAAGGTTTTTTTCTCACCCTCGATGCTGAGCAACGGAGATCAATGGTTTCCCTACCCAAGCCCAGTTTTAAGCTTCTTTGATACATTACATTGTATGGGAGGGCATGAGCTTTTTACATTACTCATTTCACATAAATGAGAACAACAAAAATTATATACTCTAAGGATCACAGTGTACTTGTACACGAAAACATTATTGGGATTATTGTTAAGCTACCATTCTATTTTATGTTATTGGGATTATTATTATTAGGCTACTATGGTGGAAAACTATAATACAAATTATACATATATTTATCTGATTTTTTGACTCCGAATTTTTTAGCTTGGTTTGATGTATTGCCGATATCTTTACATTAAGTATTTTTGACGATCCGTATTTTTTATCCAATTTTTTCTTTCGACTTTTTAAAATAAAAACGAATTTTTCCCGATTTTAAGGTAAGCCAATTTATTGAAAGTTCCCGACTTGCTAACTATGATCTAAGCCAAGTAATACTGAAGATTAGAATTTATTTTATTTTTTTGGAAAATTTACATGAATATCTTGTATATATTTTTAAGCCCCAATATTTTATATTTTATGGTGATGTTCCTTTCTTAAGAGCATATCTAGTATTTTAATTTTGTCTTTTTTTATACATCAGATTGGGCTCAAATTTTGGGTGTCCATTCTTTTAACGTAATGCACTTGTAAAAAAAATAAAATGGGTAATTTTAAAAAAATAAAATGACCAAATTGATACCTCTAAAATTTCTACATCTATTTTGATGCTTTTTATTTAATTATTTTCTATATTTTTTTGGGGATGCTTGATGACGAGAAGTATGAGCACAAATTTTGAGCCTAATTTGATATATACTCATAAAGTTAAAATACTAGATATGCTCTTAAAAAATGGAACATGAACATAAAATATAAAATATTACGAATATTCTTTAAATTCCAAAAAATACAGGGGATATTTATATAAAATTCCCTCCTTTTTTGGCTACCAATGAAAACTTCCCCACTCAATGGAGCGTGAAGGTCTAATTATAACCATGGTAATTGCAGGTGGTCTCAATGCTGGAAAGTAGGAATTCCTCCATCTTAACCCCATCTCCATCGTCCTCTTGTCAAAGTCCGGCGAAGGTCTAAAGTCTTCATTTTGGTTACAATGTTTTTGTAAAGCGAGGGATCAGAGTTGTCATTATACAATTGTCAATTGGAATTGTGTAATTCTTTTAATATTTGATTGAGCTAATAAAATCTCTTCCGGTGAATGTGGAAGGTGTATATTGTAATTTGTATATTTAGGAAGGGTAGATATAATATCTTGTATTTATAATAAGTCTAGGGTATAATTTGAGGTATAATTTAAGTGTCTATGATTTAGTTTCTATTATTATCATCTGGAATTTGTCTTTAAAAGACAATACTGTATATGTATATATATCAATTAATGGACACTGAGTCTCTTCAGAAAAACCTGATACTCTTCATATGGTATCGGATTTAGTTTCATCTTTATTGTCTCCATTCATTATCTAAGCTCGTACCTCAGATTAGAGCTCTCTGTTGAGTCGTGTTTCGACTCTATGATCTGTTTGATCGCCTTTGCCTTTTTGCATGTCTTCTGAATCCACTGTTTGTCATCAATTTTTGGTAAGCATCTCGAGCTCGTTTTCCGACTTCTTTTTAGTTTTTCCGGCCGTATGTAACATCTCCTCTTTCTGCCTCTCTCAGTCTGGCCCCGTAAAACCACTATTTCTATTTTCCATTGTTGCCTCTGTCGCGTGCGTAAAACCACTGTATTTGCTTTGCTTTTGGCCCTCACTTCCATCTGTATCTTATGTTTCCTCGGGTGACTCTCTCTTTCTCCTCTATTCTGTTTTGAGTCTCTCCATTTTAGTTCTTGAGAGAGCAGAGAAGTGGGGATGAGACTTTGAGAGAAATAAATGGTGCGGCTCTTTTTTGAATTTTTTTTGGGTTCATTCTCTTCTCTTTTCCTTTGTTTTTATGTGCTTGTCTTCTCACTTCAAACCATGCGAACCATTTTGTCTTCTTCTTCCTTGAATCACTTGAGTTTTTTTTTTTTTTTCTTTATTCTTTTGATGTTCTGTCAGACCATCAAGTTGTTATGGACCATCAAGTTGTGACATACTGATTTTTTTTATCTTAAAGAAAAAAAAAACAAAGAAAGAAAAAAAAAAATGTGTTTTGTTCCTAAAGATCATCTTCAATCCGTCAGCTTTTTTTTTTTTTAATTCAGTCTGTTTATCTATTACTCGCACATGTTGTTTTGTCTATGAATTGTTGAATCCAACTCAGATCTATTGGATTTAGTGCTATCCAAAATCACCCACATAAGGAAATCTCATATTTGTGGGATTGATTAAGATTGATCCATATTACGTGGGATTGAGATATTCCCATATTATTTGGGATTGAAATTGATATTGATAAGTTTTTCTAAGGGAAATAGAAATCCAAAAGATTAAGACTTTTAGACAGATATATCTCTTGATCTTTTGAGATATATGTAATATCAATAAAAAGTTTCCTATTTAGTGTGGACTCCTAATCTTATATATATGGGATAAAAGTGCAGAGAATTTGTGTGTGCCCAATTTAGGTTACCATATAGGAATAGTAGTTCATCTAGAGAGAGAAGAAGACAGGGCCTCCTGTGCATAAGGTGCAAGGTTTCCTATTAGAGAGAAGAAAGCTGCATTTGGACAGAAACATTGTGATGGTGTCTCTTTTGGATTTCCGAAGATTGAGAGGCTTGTTTATTCGATAAAAGCAGCTCCCAATTGAGATTTTTGGTGTTTTTCTTTTTAGTTAGATAGAAAGTAAGTTTCTCGTTGCTCTCGCGTCTCTATCTGGCGTTGTTGATAATGATTGTCAGAAGTAAAGAGAAGGAAGGGAGAGTGGTTAAAAATAGAGTGGTTCAAAAATGTTTGCTCGACTTAAATATTTTGTCGAGGTTTGTTCCAAAATCTTTGATGTAACTTTCATTGATAAAGTGATTTTGTTTGCCGTGCCCGTGGATGTAGGCCTCTTGGATGAACCACGTAAATCTTTGTGTTCTTGTGATGTGTATTTTATGTTTTATTTTTCGAATTTTATTTGCCAAAAAACGTCAACCCTTCGGGTTTAGAACTTCTGCTCACAACAAGTGGTATCAGAGCACAACAAGATCCACACCAAATTCTGTTGGCACTTCCAAGTGTCATTCTATTCTCAGATGTCTCGACTGTTTTGTCTAGAATATTTGTCTAATTGATCGAGCCTACTCTAATATGGCCCTCAATTCCTAGACCATCTGTTCCTATCTGCCGCTGCTTTTTGTATTCGTTGATCAAGCAATCTGAGCATGACAACCATTTCATCTACTGATCATGCTATACACACACCTGAAGATCCAACTGCTTGTTTAAGGAATTAGTGTTCAACTCCAGCTGCTCTCTCTCATAGTATCTTGAGTTTGAGCGAGAGTGTGAAAGGAAAGTATATATTGTACATCCATGTTAATATGAAAGGTATATATTGTAATCTGTATATTTGGGAAGGGTAGATATAATATCTTGTATTTATGATAAGCCTAGGTATAGTTTAGGTGTCTATGATTTAGTTTCTATTATTGTCATATGGAATTTGTCTATAAAAGACAAGTCTGATATATTCAGATCAATTAATAGATATTGAGTCTCTTCGAAGAAATTTGAGACTCTTCACCTTGTAAACTGGTAAAACCCAAAATTTTTGCGTATAGAAGGACCATTATTTACTTTTTTTAATGGAAATTATTATTCCATGTTGCTTACCTTGAATAATTAGGAGTATTTTCTTTATTTGGCTTTGCCAACTTAAGTGAGGCTAAATCGTCAAAATATTCTACTTGTTCAAGGTACCATCATATACCCATATTATTGGCAACATTTAGGTCTTGCACAACATTTATGAGTACCTACATATACCCACATTCCTTATTATTTTACGTAATAACTGGAAAATCTTAAGAAACAAACATATTAGCAATATTTATGAATACCCACATGCACCAATATTATTTAGGTTGGGTCCGGCTTGGGTACTTTTTGGGTTCAAGTTTTGGACTAGAACCCGACCTTTCAGGTCCAAAATTTGGACTCATACCTAGACCCGAGTTCAGGTGTACTTGTCAGATCCTGGGTCTGGTCGGGTCCATTACCACCACTATCCATGCAATTGTTTCCTCCATTTATTCCCTTGAGTGAAACCAAATTATTGTAAGGACTAACTATTATGCCCCACAAGTTTGGGATGTGATCTCATTAACCTAAAGACTAACTAAAAGAAAAAAAAGAAAAAAAACAAATTAAAATACTTTGTATAGGCCTTAAAAAAATCGAAAATTGAATAGATGATCAATTTTGAATGGTTAGATCAAAGTATTTAATAACCCAAATTCCATTCATTGTCTTTAATAATCATCCAGTGATTCTCAATAGATCCCAAATTTCAAAATAAAAAATCCTCTTAAGTTGTTATTTCGCCTAAAGGAATAAGTGTACAGTATATGCTCCCTCCTGTGTGCCATAGCATAAGCTCTCTAGTTCATATTAGTAGAAGACATTTTTCCAACTAAATTGTGTTGGGCTTGAACAAATGGATTACACAAAGTGAATACATTTCCTTTATGCAAATTTTGTTGTCCTTTTGTTTGGTATTGGACCTTGGAATCTTGGCATGAATTTAGAGTTCAGATTGTTGATTCTATGTGATGAATTTATTAACTAAATGTCCGTAGGCATGTAGTTGGAGTTTAGCCGCCTCTTTCTTGCATGCACTAGTATTTCTATTAAATGGTGCCATGCAATTTGTCTGCAGAAAAGTATACAAAAAAAACTATTTACTTTTAATAGCAATCATTTTTGTTCATCATATTTCACATCAAGTGGTTGTGAGTGTGTTATTAATCTAACTCAAAGTTAAAAAAAAAAATTCTCAAACCTTGTGACATATCCCAAACCATCAAATTTGAGATCTAGTGGCTAATAACAAATGTGAGCTCCTGGTAACAAAGATAAATGGTCTCATAGTATACAATCTCTTTGTTTGCATGCCATTTTTCTTCGATGTTGAGGTATGTAATTTACAATATGTTGCTCTATATTGGGTAGGGTTTAGGTGCATCTAGGGACACATTTTTACATGGTCTCATAGTATACAATCTCTTTGTTTGCATGCCATTTTTCTTCGATGTTGAGGTATGTAATTTACAATATGTTGCTCTATATTGGGTAGGGTTTAGGTGCATCTAGGGACGCATTTTTACAGGGAGTCCACCCTCCTAAAATCCATCTTAGAGATTGTTTTCAAATTCCAAAATTTTCCGATCGATGTTGTAGACCAACAAGACCATGAATCTCAAAAAGAAAAAAAAAACCCTTAATAGTAGTGTATTTTATATTTTTGGTGCATTGTTCATATTAATTCTTCAAAGATTGTCTGATTTGCACTATCTTTGGAGCTTCATATTCATGAATATAAGAGGGAAATGGATTTGTACTGATTTGAGATAACTTACAAGTTCCAAATTAATTAGAAACCAATGTGGACACATAAGTCAATTAACTCACCTAGGTACCTTATCCTTTTGTTATTTCCTTCTATTTGGTTTTCTTTTTATTTGCCCAACTCTGCCTCCCTCTAAAAATAATTGTAACTAACGGTTCAAAAGTTTTTTTAATATAAGTATTATTTATCATTTTTAAAATTTATTGATTTTTCATATTCATGATTTTCACGTTAAAGATTATATATTCTCTAAAAATTAAAATCAAATTATATTTAAAAAATATATTTATTGCCAACCCCGCATTTCTACAATATGCGGGCTGGCCGCATGCTAAGAATACCCTTAAGTGAAAGTTAAAAAGTAAATCGTATTGGTAAATAACATATGTTGAGTCCTTTAATCATTCTGTTAGATAATTTGAGCTCTTTAAGAATCGTTTCTCTAAAAGATTTTCTTGCCTCAAAAGCAAGCATTTGTGAGACTTTGGAATGAAAAAAAAAAAAACCTGGTAAATTGGGTTCCGCTTCATTTACTAAGAAATTATCAAGCTACACAGAAGGAGCTTATTATTTAACTCCTGCTACCCATTTGTCAATTTCACCCTTTTTTGGGCCCCATTAGAAACGGCATATGTTAAGGAATGTAAAGGATTAATAGCAATGATCAACTGCACAATTTCATCGATTTGCTTAAAGAAAAAAGACTACCCCATACAAACAAAGCCTTATGTTTTTCACGGATATGAATTTGTCGCTTAAGAAATAAAATTTATTAAGATTGAACAAATCTAAAGCTTCACTACCAATAATGCATGAAAGTTGAATTTACAGGATTTCCCAGACTGTCATCCTGACTCAGCCAAGAACCAAGGGAGTGCAGCAGGAGGCTTGTTTTGGCAGCTAGTTTCAGATGGGATGGAGATATCAGATGGATATGAGATCATATAGACCCAACCTACTGATCCGGTTAA